TAGAAGGAATCTACCAGAGGTGGTAAAAGTAAATCCGAGAAAAAGACCCGCAAGACAAAACAGGATGATACGCTTGCCGATTCTTTTTCTTCTAAAGCTAATCAACAGATTATTCGTAAAATAGTTCAAAGTGAACTTGGTTCAGCTTTGCGAGAAGAACTTAAAAAAATCCTCTCCATATATAATTCAGGCCCTCCCATTAGATACTAAGAAGTCAGATTTAACCAAAAATAAGATCGAACCTAAAGTAAATGATTTCTCATCTTTTCAAGAACTGACTCCTGCTATACCTGAATCAGATGATGAGTTTATCAATGATCCTATGGAGATAGACTTTGTCCAAAGAAAAGAACCTGTCACAGATGTTGTTACTGTTAAGTGTAAAATTAAGCGTCTAGTGATTTCGGCTGGCACTGTTGATCCTGATGCTAATTTTCTGATTATGTCTGAGAATATAGCCAAACGATCAAAGCTAGAAATTGATACAAAAGAAAAATATGATCTCAGAGGTATTGCTACTACTCCTACAGAGTCGCTTGGAATTGTTAGAAATGTCCCAATAAATTTTGCTTTAGGATGTACTATATATGCTGATTTTGCTATAGTTAAATACCCTAAGCCAATGCTAATCTTACCCAATACATTTTTCGATAAATATAATTATGATCTACTTGCATCAAAACGGGAGTTGAGACTAGAGTGTAATGGTAAGGAATTTTTTATTCTAATTAATATGAATAAGGTTAAGAATAAGCTTGAGGTGAATTGCGCGAACATTACTCCTGAATGCAATGCTTTCTCAACTCCAGATAGAATTTCACAAGACTTGCAAGACTTAAGTGAAGACGATAATGTATTAAAAAAAAAGTGAGTTACGAGGAGCTTGAAAAAATACTATATACCACTCTCAAGTATAATGCAAAAATCAATGAGTATTGTGAAAGACTACAAACATACTATGACGAACTTCTTAGAAAATAGGCAAGTTTTCTTCTAATAAATTCTTCATTCTTGCTATATTTTTTATGCTTCTTTCAGATATCTTCTCATGCAATACATATAATTCCTCTTTATTTATATCTGAACTTTCTAAATTCATAGAGATTGGTTAAATCAGTCTTAATAGAGGCATCTGAGAGACAGGTGGTTCAGAAATACGAACGGACTTGGACCTGGATTTTTCTTTTAGCTTGGTTCCTCCAGTCTTTTTTTTCTTGCTATCAGTTTCGCTAGGGCTAGATGTCTTTAGAAGTACACTACCTGAAAATAAGTTTGCGCAGTCAGTTTTTCAGAATTTATTCAAAATCGTATATAATAAAAATCAATATATTTTGGCACCAATCGAAAGCCCTGCTTCTAGTTTACATGTCTATTTGTTATTGTTGCACACAAAATAAAAAAATAATTTAAAATCACAAATAAACATTGCAGTTCTAAAAATTGATCTGACAATTTATTCATAACATAATAGGTAAAAATCCCGAACTTACCGTTATAGAACGAGCACAAATAATCGGACTATACAAAAGTGACCATAGAAAGTCTGATATTGTCAAAATTATGAATCGATCAGAATCTACAGTTAGAACAACGATTTTACAATATGAAGATTCAGATAACATGTTGAGCAAAAAAAGAAGTGGTCAGCCTCCATTACTTGACGATAAAGATCGTAAAATTTTAAAAAAAATTGTTAATAAAAATAATAAAGCTTCAGCTGATATGTTACAAAAGAAATTTTCAGCATCAACTGGCCAAAATATTTGTACTAAAACTATTCGAAAGAATTTGCATCAAATTGGATACAACTCCTATCAAGCTGCAAAAAAACCATTTTTAAATGAAAATCAACGCCAAAAACGGCTAGAATGGTGCTTAGAAAGACAAAATTGGACAATGCAACAATGGAAAAATGTCATATGGAGTAATGAATCAAAGTTTACTCTTTTTCATAATGATGGTCTCTCTCGGGTTTGGCATGAACCGGTCACTCGTTTTAATATTGAAAACCTGAATCCATCCGTTAAACATAGTAGTGGGGTCATGGTTTGGGAATGTTTTTCAGGTAAAGGATTGGGTCCTTTAGTGAAAATAGTAGGAATAATCAATCGACATGATTATATAAAAATTTTAGATGATAACTTGTTGCCATTTATTAATTCAAAGTTTCGTAACTGATCTTACAAATTTCAGCATGATAATGCACCCATTCACATGGCTAATGATGTTAAAGCATGGGTTACTGAAAAAAAAATTAAAATGCTAATTAATTGGCCTGCTCAATCTCTGGATTTAAATCCCATTGAGCATCTTTGGGATCATCTTGAACGTTCATTACGTAACTGTTCAGATCTACCTAAAAATCTTGCAGATTTAGAAGTGCAACTAAAAGAAGAGTGGAAAAAATTCCGCAAGAAACTTATCTAAAATTAATTGATAGTATGCCTCAAAGAATAGAAGCATGTATTGCCAATAATAGATGGCCAACCAGATACTAATATTTTGTTAGAAAAAATGATAATAAACTATTTTTTGTTAGAAAAAAAAGATAATAAACTATTTTTTTAAAAAATTGCGCAAACTTATTTCTAGGTAGTGTATATCAGCTAATACATAGTCCTCACTCTGTTGCAGATGTTCATTATCATCCCATATATCAGAGATGCGATTTTTATTGATATGATAGTCTCTTACTATCATATATGCGGAGACCTTGTTTTTAAGGCTTCTGATTTCTTTGACATACTCTGATGTTAAAACACTAGCATCTCGTCAATAATGAGTTTTTAAAAATTGGGTAGGCATTAATCCTCAGTATTTTTGGCAATATTTTAGAGTGATAAAAAAATGATAAAAAACATTACTTATTGTTTTAGGATAATAAAGAACGATAAAAAATATTATTTATTGTTTTAGGATAATAAAGAACGATAAAATACATTATATATTGTTTTAAAATGTTAAAAAATGATAAAAAGTGATATTTATTATTGGAGAACATTTGTTATTAATATGCGAGAAGGTAGAGCAAATTATCGATTAATGTTTGACTAAAATTTATTCGCGTCTTTTTTTCCTGCTATGTAACCATGCCAATATTATGTCTAATGTGCATACTCTAAAAAATATCAATAAAAGGGGACGTCGGCTGGGTAGTGCATATGAGCAAAAGCTCAAAAAAAAATAAGATCCATTATCGAATTTAACTCTGAGATTGATGATCTCAGCGAAAAGCTAGTAGATAAATATAATGAGCGGGAAAAGGAGTATCAGCGAACCTATACTGATATTGGAAATAAGATTAGCCAGTTAAATGCAGACAGTATAAAAGTTAAATCCCAACTTATTTCTGTACGGAAGTCTCATTCTGAGAGTCAACGTGAGTATGAAGCAGAACGAGCCAAATATTCTGCTGAAATCAAATCGCTTAAATTCAATATTAAAACATTAAAAAGAGAGGCAACTTTGACGCAGAAAGCTTCGTCTGCTGACAAGGTCAAGATACTTTCTTTTGAAGCTAAGATAATTGAATTGGAAGGTAAGTTGCTAGATCTAGAACAAGAACATGATTCGCATATAGTAGGAGGACTACTAGAGGAGCCAGCCCAAATAGATTCATCTGATCCTAAAGAGATCGATTCACTTAAGCTTGAATTGAAACAGGCAAAGGATGATTTATCCTCAAAAGATTATATGATAGAATGCATGGAAAAGGGAATAGAGTCATCACATAACATATTCAAATGGGAAATAAATGCTGTGTCTTCAGCGCGAATAAATTCAATGGAGGAAAATTCCTGTCTCCGAGAGATAATCTCAAAAAAAATAATGAAATAGCAGAGCTCTCTAATTCCCTACTTTCACCTATGAACGATTCATCGCAAAAGCTACCAGGTTGGGTCAGTGACAATTTAAAACCCCTCATCTATGAGCTCGGTCTTGAAGATAAAGTTATGGAATTTGATAAAAGTTTTGCTAGAGAAAATGTATTAGAGGCTTTGCAAGAGCTATTACCCTGAAATGAGATAATTTCGAGAAGCCAGATAGATACTCTACCCAATCAATCTGTTCATAGTCAACCAATACATTCTGAAAACTATATTTCAAGTGAAGGGGTTGCAGAGCAATTAGGTGGCGCAGAAGCAGGTTCTTTACCAGCAACTGCTCCTATTATTGCGAGCTCCTTAATGTCGCTAATGTTAATATATATCATACTTACCTTACTAATTCTTGCAATTATATGGATTGTTAGGAAAAAAATATGGAATATGTGGGGTATGAATTTAAAAAATAACCGTTATTTCACATATGAAAAATATATTAATAGGCTGTTAGCTTTACTAACTAATACCGTATAAGTACTGGCGCAAGTAGAACTTCTTCAAATCTTTTTTCGATATGTGCTAATACCTTTTCTGATAAATCTTTGGGTGGATTTATTAAGATCTTCTCAGCGTGGGCTACCGTACATGCTAATAACCATCCAATATGAATATATTCACCTCCCTTTCCATTATGCCCATGTTGCTGTAAAAATCGATAGTCATCTATTACAATATCTGTCATTCCCTCCTGTTCTGTTATTATTTTACGAAATACCTGTCTATCCTCTTCTGTGATTGGGAGACGAATTTTGTTAGGTTTGAAGCCTGTGTACTGGGAAACCTGATCATGTAGTTCAGCCATTATACCAATAAAGCTTATCTTTAAAATATGTAGATTTGTGAAAATTACTAATGATCATTCCAAATATCCAGGCATTTCTGAGGCCGGACTGTATGATCGGAGGCCGGAAGTTCGGAGTGATCATTCTAGGCCAAAAGTTCGAAGATAGGAATTGAAATTAGTTGATATTATTGCACGAGAAAAAATATATAAATAATATTATGTGAAGCGCCTTAACGACTAAGTATTCTAGCAGAGGTGTGGCAATTTCAGCTAAAAGTACTTAACCATATAGTTAGGTGGTTTTGGGCGAATTCTCAAAATACCTAGAAAGTTTATTGAAGACTCTTGATATATTTAATAAGCCAGTTTTTTGCCTTTTTCTGAGAATATTTATCGATCTGTTTTTCTCTTATATCTGAATCTTTAATCTGCATTATTTTATCTGATGAGGGTGGTAGGAATATATTATCCTTATTGATAAAACGTGCACACATTCCTACTGTTTGTTCTAAATAATGTCTGATATCTATTTTCATATTAAACTCTTTTGCAATTTCTGGAAACTTCATGTAATCACCCTTTCTTGTTGATTTTGAATCATCTTTTTTATAATGAGGGCCGTCATTCACAACGATATAGCTAAAGCGTTTACCAGAGTCAGGATCTTTATATTTTTTTCTCTGTTTGTTATTCTTTCTCTCATCTGCTCTATAAAGATTTTATTGCATGCGATACCTCCTTTAGCCTTCCATTTAGACATTGCAATAAACTGATTAAAATCCACTGCTTAAATCTAGCATTCCAGAGAGCGTCTTCAACAATTTTACGAATTGAACGTGTGTTATTGATACCATTGCCTCCCACATAATCTTTTCTCCGATAAACCTGAAGAGTTCAGAATTTAAGCGACCCTTCCTTTTCAACTTCAGAACAGGGATAACATTTTTTGAGACACACTCGGACATCAATTGGTACGCATTCTGGCAGTTTAAAAAAACTGGAAAAGAAATCATCTTCTGCAGTAATTTTGATCTTAATTGATCCATATAATCTTTCTTTTCCTCGACCTCCTCACCCGATCCCCATATGATCACCTTTTCGTCTGTATCCTTTTTCTTTTCTTTCATCATGAAATTATTTTCAGATTTCACTCCTATCTTTTCACAATATTTCCACTTTAGGATTTTTTCCTTTGTTTCGAACTTTCCTGTCATTCGCTCCCACATCTATTCGAGTATATTGAGATGATATGCTCTCTTCATAATAAAATGCCAATCATAGTCAGAATCATTAAATCCAACTTGAATGTCAGGGGCAAATGCTCGCCAGCAAAGAGCGAAAGCTTTTAGCAAATTTACTTGATTTTCACATATGATTGTAACCCATCGTGGGTCTGGTGCAGTTTCAAC